TGGCTCAGTGTCCTTTGTTTATGCTGATTGGTTTCCTCTGAGTTTATACTAACCAATATGGATGCTGAGTACTTTGCTTCTTTTTTTTTTTTAAGGTTTGCTTTAGTCCAACTAAGCAATTTAATATTGAAACAAGGAAGAGACTGTTGCCTGCGCACTCAGGTTTTTATCTACGGAGGGAAAATATGGTGATATTATTCGTTCATTATATTATTTGTCACTTTTTCAGAAAGGGACCGGGGCCTACTACGAAAGGAAATGGAGAATCCTTTGGCTGAAATTCAAAATTCTCTTACTGCAGAAAAAGCCTAGGCGGCTTGGAATTTGTTTTGTGTGGTTGTTCGTTATCACTACGCTTGTCTTCATTTTTTTATTTCACCTTCCTAAGACTCTACCTCATCCTTTAATAGAATGAATACAGGAAATGTCTTAGGATGCATAGTGTCAGTTTGCAGTCAGGCATGCAGACATTAAAAGCAATTGCTGGCTGGTGGTATCAATTTATTTTCGAGTAGGTCCCCCAGGTAGGCATGATACAATTTAAATCTCATAAGAAAAAAAAATATATAATAAAAAATCTCAGTAGAATATATAACAGATCTGCTATGATCTTACCTTCCTCAGTTCTAATAATCATTGGAAAGTCCTATCGAGAGGTAGACCTTAAAATAGTTTTCTTCAATCCTATAAAATTTAAATAGAGAAAACTGGCCAAAAGTTTCTAAAAACACAGCTAACCCAAACCATTCCTTCTTTCCTCTTTCTAGTCACACCCCGTCTTACCCTGCTAAGCTAATATCCACCTTTCTGATTCAAGGGTAATCACCCAGTGTCTTAATAAGTATTGCCGCACTCAGAGGGTCACCTTCTCCAGGCAGCCCCTCACTTTCTGTCATGGGCTACATTGTGTCACCCCAAAGTTCATGTCAAAGTCCTAAACTCTAGTACTTCAGAGTGTGACTGTATTTGAAGGTAGGGTTTTTAAAAAGGAATCGAGTTAAAATGAGGTCATATGGTTGGGTCTTAATCCAATAACACTGGTGTCCTTATAAGATTAGGACACAGAAACACACAGAGGAAAGACCTTGGGGGGACACATCAAGAAGGCAGCCATCCACAAGTCCAGGAGGACGACCTCAGGCAAAACAAACCCAGCAGAGACCTTGGTCTAAGACTTCTGGCCCCAGAATTGTGAGAAAATAAATTTCTGTTCTTTTAAGCCACCTCACGTTGGATACTTTGTTCCGGCAGCCTGAGTAGACTAACACACCTTTTATTAGAGGCTCGAGATCATGTACTTATTCTCGCTCAAAGGAAGTGGGGGACCGACAGGCTTTAAGAGCTGCAGTAGGGGGAAATATTATACGCCACCCCTCTCTGCTGAAAGCTGACGTCACAGATGTGAGACCAGCTCGGCATGCGCCTTTCTAGCTCTGGGAGTAGGGCCTGCTCAGCCATCTGTCCTCTCTTGCCCGGTCCCCTTTAGGTCATTGGAAAACATTTTTGAAATCCGGAAATGGCAACTTCTGTAGCTGTTAGTTTCTTTCGTGGAACTAATTCTCTAATATATTCTCAGCTTGATTTTTAGCCACCCCCCCCAACCCGTCCTTATTTTATCTTTTTTGATTATATAAATACTTTATGACCGCTAGAAAATTTTTGGAAATTCAGAACAACTATTATTTTGTTATATTCTAGCCTTTTAAGCAGTACATTTTTCTAACACTCCAATCAATTAAAAAATCAGAATCAGAAATAATCAGAAACAATATTTTAACTTCTCAATATGTTTTTATATTTATTTTTTTATTTTTCTTCATGTAATATGGTATTGGGCCATCTTACTTAAACTTTTATAAACATTCTATTACATAAAGGTACACGTTTTATTTAAACTTTCCTAGTTTATTTAAAGTAAATCTTGTTTCAATATTAAATAAATGTATCAAAGACCACGTCTGTTTAAAATGTATCTGGACTCTACCTGAACATAACTTTGCACAGTTGGTCTACTTCACACTCCCAAAGGTCATCACACCCATACTCCACCTGAATACACACGTGGAACCTTTTCTAGTGTGGTGGTTTCTCATTGGGCTTGTTGTTGATTTTGATGCTGATCTTGACCGGGGAGGAGAGCGTGAGCAGTGGCTCTGTCTGTCTCCATGTCTCTGTCCTCAGTGCTGTCTGTCTTATCTCTCTCTCTCATCTCTTTTTCTTCCTACCACATTTGTTGCCTCAGTCTTGGCTGATTCTCTCCCTTCTCTGTCCTAGTTGGGGCATATTTCTTGCTGAGGTTCTGATGCCAATAGGAAAAGACACACTGACCATGACAGGATGAGGCCCAAGAGAGGACAAGCTTAGGGTATAGTCGGGGGAAGGCAAGAGAGACAGAATATCTGGGTGCTTTTAGGACAAATAATGGCCAAAGGTTAGTGCCACCTGAGGTACAGCAAATTACAGCACTCACCTCATGCCGGGGTTTTAGAGGGTTCAAGGCAGCTGCAAGAAGAAAAGGTGAGACAGCAAATAGGAAACTAAAATAGAATAATGTGACAGTTCAGATAAAGCACTTGAAAAAATGTCCAGCACATAGTTGTTGCTCAATGTCAAGATATCACCATCATCGTCGTCATCATCACCAGCACCACCACCACCACCACCATCATCATCATCATCATCATCATCATCTTTGTTATTCTGTTTCCCTTTGGGGAATCCCTTCTTTCTGTACAGTCTTTCACAGTTGCTACTATTCATAGGTTTTATTAGCCCGGGCTTCCAGTGATACTCATTTGAATAAAGGCGATGACTTTCTAAGTGGAAAATATAGCACAAAAACATTATTTCCATTTCATATTCAAATTTTCGCATTGCTACAACCGGACCATTCCCTGTGCGAGAACGGCCTGAGAAACGATGGGGTCCGTGTAGTCGCCATACAGCGTTGCTATACCTTTCCATTTCTGAGCTCATTATATTTATTTAGAATAAAAACCTAAGATCGTTTCTTCTTCCTAAGTCTAACCTCTCTGTGATGAAGTCTTTCACAATTTTACATAACCTAGAGCAGGTATTCCAAACACAGGTTCATCCCGTGGCCAGATGGCTAAAATAAATGATCACGTTAAGGCCAGTATAAACAGTGCACACCTGTCTGAAGGGGGCGGCAGCTGGTCATCTACAGCAGCCACATCTGTCTGATTTTCAACAGAAGCAATTCTGTATTTTTTTTCTGAAGTCTCCCATTTTTAAAATCTTGGAAACTAATTTGCAAATGTCTAAACATTGCAAGAGGCGAACAAAACACTTCTGTAAACCACTGGTTTGCAACCTGTGACTCGAGGTGCACTTATTTCACATTCACAGAATCTTTTACCCCTTTTGGTCTTCGCTGAATTTCTAATGACAGAGCCCAGGCTGAGCTGCCATGAAGATGTCTTTACCGTGGGTAAAGTCCCCCGCCCTCCTCCCCCAAAAAGTGAAGTTGCCTCCTCTTCCAGTCTCTTCCTACCACCTGAGAAATGAAACTATGCCAAGAAATTTTGGTAGGGAATTGTACAAATCCTCCTTAGGAAGGAATTATACATGAAGTGTTCAAGCAAAAGAGTAACTCCATTTATAAAAGTAATTTCTCATCTATCCCAAAAGAATTTGCTAGCAAGGGATACAACAGAAGAAATAAGGCAGAATGTTTCTGATTTTTGTATTTGAGGGGAGAAATGGAGTTAGCTTTCTTATGAAAACAAGTTAAAAAAAAGATGTGACATATATCAAAACACTCATTTTAAGAATTGCTATTTTCTACCCTTTGTTAAAGGAGTGAACATATATCCAAAAGTAGCAAGAGGATTGTTTTAGTATTGTACTTTAAATTTTAAAATCTCTAGTTTTATTTATTAAGGTAATATATTTAGTGGCTGAATTCCAGCGTGCAATTTTTGTACACGGATATACAATTCATTCTTATGTTGACTTGCAATTATTGATAGTCTCGTGGTTTATTTGTCGAAGAAAAACACATCTGGTTTTATTGTCTTCTTAGTATTAAGAGGATGACCAAAAAAAAAAAAAAAAAAGAAACCAAAAAACAAAAACACCCTTACAGTGGGAATTGATAACAGAACCTTTGGAACAAGAAAAGTATTACTTTTTTTATATCCCCAGTGAGAGCTAAGAGCTTCTAACACTGTTGGGTTGCCTATTGGTTAAAACAAAGGACAGCTGCTCCCTTCGGAAAAGTAGCTGGCAGTAAGGAATTAGCTGTAATAAAACATACGTGCGGTCTTGTGTTCTTTTGTTAGATTTTAATCTTTATTTAAAAGGTTGGACATCTATCCCAATCTTTTATTGATAATACTAATACTATATTATGGGTAATAATTATGGTAGTTCAACTATTATAATGCTACTTTTAATGAGTAAGCTCGTGTGTGTTGAATGTAAAGGATATTTTGATTTTTTAAAACTTTATCCAGAGTTTTCTTTCTTGATGGCCATGTTTCTCATAAATTTCTCATAAAAAAATTTACATCTATAAATTCCGTACATAGATGACATAGTATATTTTCTTCCCAATCTGTTAAAATGCATTTCAAGGCTGGACTTCAAAATTCTTTTACTGATGAAATATGTATTTGGTAAAGTAATAAAAATGAGCACAATGCTTTGCATCTAAACATGCAAATGTTTGAGCACAATACTTGCATATATTCAAGAAATTTTTTAAATGTTATTTGAATGAAAATGAAATGTTTATTTGTCCCATTTCCCTGTAATAGTGCAAAGAAATTTCAATTACTATTGTCAGAAATTTAAATTTAGCGTTAAATTTTTCGCTTTTATAATCTACATTTTACCGGTAAATCTTATACAATTTGGTAGCAGAGCAGTTGGTCATTGTTCCAGTGCATATCACCTTGTTCCGGGTGAGGGGGATAACATAATTTGAATGGCCACGTAGTAAAAACTAAAACATTACATTTACTGTCCACGTTTAGGAAAAGTCCTAACCAGTGTGCACGGAGGAATAACGACGAGAGTCGACACATGAATAGTTGTTGCTTTAGAGCTTGCGCATCAACACCCATTTTGGAGACCTGGATTCGAGCAGGTACGGGGCAGCGGGCGCGCGGCCTGGGGGGGAAGCAGGAAAGCCGAGGGCAGAGCGCCGCGGGAGCGCGTCGGGCGCA